TCTTGTTTCCTTCCACCACTTGCTGCCTGTTTTGCATGGTTTTACACACCCGTTCTCTGCACCCAAATGTATTTATGAGAAGGGAGAGGAGAAATCTGATCCCAAATGTCATCCCCATTTGTCAGAAACTGCCTAACTACCAGGTAACTTACAGGTTTCACTGGGAAGGTTTGACCCAGCCTGAGCTTCTTAACACAGCCTCCAAGGAATCAAAGGTGAAGCCAAAGGGCCCATTGTTGCAGTCCTCTTTAAGATTAAACATCTCCCTGTTTAATATGCTGAGTTATACTCACCTAAGCACCAGCATGGAGCTGTTGACACAGTACTAGGGAGTGATTTATCCTGCAGGCTAATCTCTAACGAAATTAATAATTTTAAAATCTATAAATACCGTGTGACTAGACTAACAAGCTATTAACATTACTATTGGAATTCAGCATTTTAAAATATATATTAATTTTGTGTTAATTTTAAAGGGGGGAAACCAGAATTGTTTTCTGGGAAAAGCAGGAACAATAAACCTTTCAGTAGAAGTCACTGAAAATGATTCAAATAATATGGTTTTTATGATATATCAAGTATTTCCACTAGAAATTGAACAAGGAGGAAGCATAATGTGAGTGAGGTTGTATCTCTGTCCTCCTAACAGCAATGAAAGGGTCTTATTTATCTTGAGGTTCCAGTATGGGATTTGTTCCCTTTGTGAAGATACAGTTTTCAGGCAAACCTTGTGATTTACACCTCTCATTGAACTCTCCAGCTGACTGCTTACCCAATATTGAATACATCTAACTCTCCCAGGTAACGCTGGGCAATTTTTTAAGGAAGAAACTTCATGCTCTTGCCCTGTTGAATAAAGGACTGCATTAAAAGAACAGGGGCTCAGGGGCAAATCTAGGCAGGATTATCAGAAACAGACAGGTTGTGTGTCTCACAGCTAACATCAAGGCACTCAGCTGTCACCCCAAGCCTGAAGCCGAAGCCTGGGGCACTGGAAAAGCAAAGCAGACGTCAATCTTGTTCTACCTTTTTTAGAATACAGGAATGAGCAGGTTATAGATTAAATATGGAGGCAGTGTTTTCTTCCTCTGAACATGGACAGTTTTTGAGGACAATGGGAGAGGAGCTTGGACCTTAGGTATGTTTATTATAGCATATTTATTCAGTTCTTACAATATGTTTCCTGCTGATCAGGACCAAAGAAAAATAATATAGGCCATACTCATATAAAGAAATTATTATTGTAAATTAATTATCTTCTGAATATTTTCTTTTAAGTTATTAACATTATTAACCAGCCTTTTGGTGTGTTTATATTAGGGCTGTCCTGGTTGCACTGTAACATGCACAGTATGGTATTACTACCACACTAAAAAAAGTTAGACACAAATTTGGAATGTACAAAATGCATGACTTGATAACCTACAATATTATGAAATCTTTTCCTAAGCAGAAATTTGTATATATCTCTGGCAGTGTAATATTTCTATCGCCACATTTTGTCAAGCATACATAGTAACATATAAATACTCAATTCAAACAGAAGCATAATCCTTGCAGAAGTTCCTACCCTCTATGCTTGTTAGTGCTGTTCCCTGAAGCTATTTCTTGACAATACTGTACACCTTTAGTGACAATCCATAGCTTAAGCCATGTGGCTCAGCGATTTCAAACTAGTGAAGATGTGCAAAAAGCCTCTCTGTGCTCTGTTACATAGACCTCGGTTCTGTTAAGAAACTGAATTTATAGTAAGGACCTGTGTTTGCTGGATGTAACGCTCATGCCTGTGACACCGCTGATCTCCAGTCAGAGCATGTTGCCTGTTCCGCTGCAGTTACCCAGACAGATGAACACACGCATGCAAATTCTGTGGTGCAGTCACGGTTTGTGGTACTCTTTGAAAAACATTCCCTCATTAAGTTGAACCTTGAAGCTCCAACAGCAAAATTTACAATGTTTGGAACAGTTAAAAATGTTGCCCTTCTGTTACAGAAAATAGAGGTAAGCAGGGTGGAATAACCAGGGCACAGGGAAAGGCTCACTCTGTTACGAAATCTATCTTTCCAAAATTAAGAAAACATTTACAAGTAACAAGTATTATGAAGTAGTAGTTAATTCCCTACAAATCAAAATGAAAATGTGAGAAGGCAGGGCTTCTTTTTCAGACTCAGAGAAGGATTTACATGCCAATAAGTACATTTCTTTCCTGCTGCTGCCTGCAAGCTTTCTTTCAATTGCATTCTTAGACTGCCATGGTTAGACTACTACTAGCACTGGCTTACGAACAGACTGAATCTCAAAATCATCTGTGATCTATTGCTACAACACCTACAACCTCTAGAACTGGAAAAGACTGAAGAAATTACAGGCTCTATTTCCAGCTTAACAATGTTTTTCCTGTATAATGCCCAGTGCAATTTTTGAAAAAGCATTAACAAAGTATTATTGTCATTGCAGCATTTGCTAAAAAATACATCACAGCGTAGGTGATGATTATTTTTCAAACATAGGGCAAAGCTTGTGGATAAGTATATTATGGCATAATTCCTAATACTGCATTCAACACATGTGATCTGTTCTTTCCTAACCGGTTCATTTATGCAGAGGGTTAACATTTTTCTTGGAATTTGCATCTAAAACAAATGTATAGTAATTAATTTACCTATGAACTTCTTGATAAGAATTGATAAAAGGTTTTAAAATATTCATTCAGGATGCTCAAGTCTGGAATGGAAACTCTTGTATTTGGTAGTAACAGTAAAACATTTAAGTACTCACATAATGAATTACCTAGTGACCATGTGGAGCACTGGAGTTGAATACCGAATGGCTTTGCCATGGTTGACAATATCTAAGAATACCAAGATACATAGTTAAAACAGCAGATGCCTGGTGGGCTGCTTAATGGTCAGGGAAAACCTGAGTGATTCAACAATGCTATCTTCTCCTAAAAGTTTGTGACCGATTCATGAAAAATAACCTCTCAGTCAAAATTTGCCAGAGTGACAAATTCCCCAAATTGCCAAAAGGTGGCTTCACTCAATAATTTCTTTAAATGGCTTATGAAATTCTGCTCCCCTCAGAGTTGCAGCACAGGAGAGAATTCCACAGCTACAAATCTCAGCACCTCAGTGCTGGGGAAGTACACTTAAATGCTGGAAGTTGTTCTTCCTCACAATGGGAAGGATAAGTGAAATCTTTGCTTCCTGTTCCCCAGGTTATAGGTATCAAGCTCCAGCTGACCACTGGGAAAATTTCAGAGATCAATTATTCCTCCTGTAATGTTAAGTGCAGGTGTTAGCCAAGAGAAATTTCTCCTGGATGTGCTGACATCACTTTAGCCTGTAGGACTTCTTACAGCATCACCTTCTCAAACAGCACTTTGATCCTCCCACAGTCAAAGTGAGTCAGTGGCACAGAGTTTGTTGCAGCAGGTCTGCTTCCAAGTGTGAGCCATCAAGAGACACTAAACAGGGTGAGTCATATCAGCTATCTTGATATTGTCACGACCTTTATCAGCTTTACGGCTACCATGAAACACTGATCTTTAGAATGGAAACGATGATAGTTGAAGTCAAGCCAGGGTTAAAAGCTAGTTATTACTGACAAAGGGCCCATAATATCAGCTTTTTCCTTCTTGACAGCATGTCTCTCCAATAACAGCACAAGGAAAGGACCTATTTTTGAATGAATGTGCGTGATTATTTTTTTTCTTTGCATGAGCGGAGAACTAAAGCGAAGATGCCTCTCTTGAGCAAGGGCTCAGATCAAATGACCTCTAGAAATCCCTTCCGACATAACATTTTTCTACAGCTCTGTGACAGCAATTCTTTCTGTCCTGCATGTCTCCCCTGCTAACTTATGAAGCTACATAAAGTGACTGCATAGGCTCTGGGCATTGGTCTATACAGCAGCTAGTTCAGAGACAAACACTAACCTGTTAGGTGCTGTTTTGAGGTATTTTCACTCACCTTCTACGTCATCCACCACCCTTCATTTTTTGTGATTGACACAGAAGGAGCCAACCTGGGAAAGGAGAGTAGCTATTGCACAAAGCTAAGTGGGCGAGATACGCATATTCTACAGCAGCTGTATTTCCTTTCCCTATAAAACCTAGAACATAGCTTTGAATTTACTGGACAGGATAACACTTTTCAGTCAAAAATTAAATATTAGGTTACAGGAGATAGGTCTATGAAAGTACCAGTTCACTGCTCAGTCAAAAAAATGCAAATCAAATCCCAGAAATCATTTAATACAATCCTTTATTCACCATGTTCTTTTATAAAAGAGCTGGATTTCTTTAAAAAAAAAAAAAAGACAGATGCTTTGTAACTGCAAACAGGGTTTGCTCATTTCCTACTACCTTTCTGAAACCCTGATACCATTGACACAGGAAAGGGTTGCAAATCATTCTATCAATGAAACGGGTGGATAAGCTTACTTGAGGGAGCTTGTCTGCACATGGCACAGGAAGCAATGTCTTTACTTCTGGTGGAGACTGCCCCATTACCATAGTGACTTCACATCTATCACTCCTGAGTTTATGTAAGCTTGAGAGTTGCATAAAACTTTGCCCTGTGCAACCAATGGTTTTTTCTGTGAACCTCTCTATGGGTACCCTTCTGCAGACCAGAAGGAAAGGCACAGAGATCTGTTGCAGCTTGTCAACAATACAGGCAAATCACTACAAAGCATTAGAACACAGGTATTCCAGTGCCTCACACTGTACCTCAAATGTGTTTCATCTCCAAGGACTGAGAGCTAGAAACTATAACCACATTTACAGTTGAGAACTTCGGTGGTCTAGCAACAAATGTAGTGACTTGAACCTTGTATGCAGATGGATATCTGTTTTTTCAGATATGCTTCAGAATGAGAATTCAGCTTTTGCTTACATAACTGTAGATCCCCAAAGGTATATTTTAATCTTTAGCTCCTGTTGTGGGTAGGCAAAATTGTTATTATTGCTTCACATTATCTCTCTTTCCTTGGAACAGGATAATGTGGATCTTGGTGACCTGATGTTTTCACTCTGCTACCTTCCAACAGCTGGTAGACTAACTATTACAATAATAAAGGCAAGAAATTTAAAGGCAATGGATATCACAGGAGCATCAGGTAGGAATGAATTTAATGCTCAATGTGGATTTCTGTCCCATTTCCCTCCTGAGACACAGAATTCAGCACCGTCAATTCCCAGAAACTAATTTAAATAAGAGTTCATAGATGACTTTTAAATACTAGCAGGGAGCTGCAGAGCTCCCAGAAAGGAGCTACAAAGAAATAGCTGGTTTTACTACATTCAGGAGTTTAAAATAATTATAATTCTCTTGAGAAATATAAGCCACTAATTGTTACACTTTGAATTATATTTAACCATACATCAGAAAATCCCACTGTGTAGAATATTGTCATCTTCTGTCTGTCCTACAAATCTGTACAAGTAATTAGGCTGTTATAAATAGGCTGATACACAGGCTGTTGTATAAAACAGTCATGTATAACACGGTTCAGTGGATATTTTAATACCCTTTGAGAAGTCGGTACACAACAAGAAGCTTCTTGAACCTAAACTGTTCATTATAAGCAGTCAACCAGGTAAAGCTTTCAAAGCTGCACTGCCTCCCAGGCATTCCATGGTAAAAAAAGAAGCTCAGATTCCAGTCAGGTCCAGGTGACTAATTCTGCAAGCAGGTATGGGCATACAAGAAGACTGCACCCTTCACTTTCCATTTATGTTTGCTTAAAAACAACAAAAGAAAACCAACATTGTTCTTATGATTCACACAGATCCCTACGTGAAGGTTTCTTTAATGTGTGAAGGAAGGCGACTAAAGAAAAGAAAAACTTCCACCAAGAGGAATACCCTTAATCCCGTTTACAATGAAGCCATAGTCTTTGACGTCCCTCCAGAAAACATTGACCAAATTAACTTGTCGATAGCTGTTATGGATTATGACCGGTGAGATACCTGTAGCTGTAAAATAACATCATCTATTGGCTTATAAAATCTTGCACAGTAGATTTGCATCCAGAAACAAAGTTGTCATTCTTTCCCAATAAATGGGAAATTAATGTCATGTTGAGTTTGGTAGAAGACTAAAATTTCTTGGATCATAAGGCAGAATTTCCTTTCTAAATTTTAAAATATAGATTTGCATCCATAACTGACATAACTAAGCTGCATATATGTTTGCCAGAACTGAAATAACTGAACATGTAGTCAGTCCACACACTGATGTTCTGTTTGTGCACAAGTATGCTAACCCCTTAGACACATGCCTCCATTTCTAAAATTGTGGCTTAGAGTTTACTTGTATTTGCAACTAATTACAGAACACAGGCAAAGAACTTTTTACATTCTTCATGCAAAAATAAAAAACAAATGCACACAGACACACAGTGTATGCTATAATGGGGAAAATACTAAATTATTCTGACTAGTGGGAAATGCAAAGAGCTAACCTACATATTTTATAGTTCATTATATTTTTCAGGCAAGAATTAATTCTAAAAATCCATGATTAATGTTTCTAATGAAATATGTAAATGCTATGGTTCTAAAGGTAAAATTTTAAGAAAAAAATATTATCGAACATTTTCACAGTGTAGGTCACAATGAGGTCATTGGAGTATGTCAAGTAGGCAACGATGCAGAAAGTCTAGGTCGTGACCACTGGAATGAAATGCTCTCATACCCTCGGAAACCCATTGCTCACTGGCACCCTCTTGCAGAGGTAAGACTTTTATTTCTTGCTTCTCTATTACTATAACTGTGAATATCCTTCCATATAGCATTAGACATTGGATAAAATTTTATGAACAAAACCAAGATCCACATGCATGCACTAAATCCTACCAAAGGGCTTGGAAACTCTGATATTAAAGTCAAGCATAACACGCAAGTCTGCTCCTTTCAATTTTAAGGAGACAGAAAGTAATTCATGTCTTTAATATATACATGAAAACACCAAACATTATACACTGGATTAAGGGTTTGGTTTTGTTTTTTAAATAAGATCTTGGGTAACTTTCACTGATAATTGATATGAAGAAATGGACCTTGTTTACAGAACAACCAAGACCTATTTTTTTATATGTAACAACCTAATTTGACTTCTTCTCTCGTAACAATATAACATCCATGTCACTAGCACATCTCAAGGGATGCCTAACTGCACTGAAAAAAAAAATGTTTAAGTGTCTCTGGAGATCTGAGGCGCTGATAAGAAGCGACACAATCAGAAAAGCTTTTCAAGGTTCCTATGGTTTTTTTGTTTTGTTTTGTTTTGTTTTTTGTCTTTAGGGCCCTATTCAGCAGAAATGTTATGCAGGTCTTCTGCGCTTGGATGGCTGCCGAAGAGGCTTCCTCACCCTTTTAACCTATTCAGCAGAAATTTGGCATTCCTGTTGAACTCTTTCTTAGCCATATCCTCAGGGGCTATTCCACAGAGTCCAGTGGGGTAAAGATGTCCTTTTAATCCCTCTGTCTAATCCTCTCCCCAATACAGGGAATACTAACCCTGATTCATGAGACACAAAAATTCATCAAAGATCTAACTAAATTGCTTCCTAAGAGTTACCATGACTTACTTTTATTATTGCTATCACTGGCTAAAGTCAGGCAGTAATCCCAGTCAAAAGAAACTACTGTGTTTATGAACAGCCACAATGTTACCTGCAATGCTGAAAGACAGGAAAGACCATAGTATTCATATGAAGCCACAAACGATGCCATAAGCGCCTAATATACAGAGGCAGGCAGTTTGCAGCCTCTGAGCATACTTTATGCATCAGAGTGCAGCCATGTTACTAGAATGCAACTGAGGACTTCATCTACTTGGTTGTAAGCACTAACCCCAGGCATTTCCATAAATAATTGTTGGGCAATAGGAAGATGCTACAGAATGGCAAAAATACCACAGTCTTGCCCTGTGTCCATAAGCGATTACATTTAATAGTGCGTGGGGACCACAGCAGCACAAGTTTCAGCAGGGAGACCTTTGTGTGCTCACAGGCTCTGTTGCAGTCGGAGTGCACCATGCCTTTTCAGAGCATAGGTGCTGCCAACATGCAAGTATGTTATGAAAGAAGATAGAGCAAAGTAGGGGAGCTCTGCCTATATTTGTGTGCCTTCAGTGACAAGCTAGCTACTGGCTGAAGTGCCACACTTGAAATGACTACCTGGGCATTTGGGGGCTGGGTTTAGAAAACACATCGCCCAGCTCTCAGCTGTAGCCAAGCAGTGATAGGAATGGCTTAACAAAGCACGTAAGGAGTAGTGTAATGGTTACTATTTCCCAGAATACGAGAAGTGTCTCTTAGCAGAAGTTGTGTACATCCTTATATCCAACCTGTCTTCCCTCTGATAAATTTTATTGCAGCCAGAGCCCACAATTAGGTTTTGACAGCTCTTCCCTTCCTACAGGCATCCTGTTCTTTTCATACATGCCTGGCTAACTTCTTTAGATTTCATTACTGTGGATTGCTTTTCATGTCACTGAGCTAAACAGAGACATATTTTTTTCCTTCCCAGGAATCAAGTGGGGGAGGGTGTCCAGCGCATCCAGGCTGTGCAGAGAAATATATACACAGCATATCATTTTGGTTCCTGAATCAGGATTAGACTCAGCGAGAGCTTCTGGAACCTCTGTGGCCACAGCCATAGGAACCTGAATATTTGCTGAATAGGACCCTCAGTCTTCTACTATGTGAAGAGCTTTTGGTTTCAAGTAGTGTAATGTTATCCACTTGTAGCATTAATTCTCCAGCTGACACTATTGCTACTGATAGATTATTTGTATGGTCGTAAGCATTACCCAAATTCAAGTCATAATTTCTGTTCATTAGAAAAACCCAGGTTTTACAAGCAACATGATAGCAATGAAAACCAACAAATATGGGAAGCAACAACAAATATGGTTCTTGTATTTGTAAAAAAGGTGCAGTATTGTGAATCAATAGCTTTCTAAGTCTTTTTTTTTCAAGAATTATTGTCATCAGACGTTTATTTTTTGATGACAAGTTGCATCCTCCATCTCAGTTGGTGCCTCCTTTCACCTTACATGAAAACAAATTAATATGGTTCTTTGCAGAAATCCTTCAAATCTGAAAAACTGAAAAAAAGTTCTGTTGGGTGAGAACAAGATACATATGGTATTTATAATGACAGTATGTTCTTTTAGAAAGAAGATAACCATCTGTATAACATGGAGGCTGTTAGTCCTCAACCTTTGTAGATGATTTTCCAGTCAATGTTTCTTAGTTGTGTCCATGCTGTTGCAAAAAGTTGGAAGCATATCACAGGTGGCTATGCTCTATCATACTAACAAGCACACACATGTGCGTGCATGTGCACATACACACACAATGTCATTTTAAAATGCTGTTCCAAATATATAGTGCCTGTGAAGACTTTCTTTATTATTTGTAGTAGAATTAACAGGGCTATTTTACATCGTGGTATATTGTAAATGCTGTCAAATTCTGACCATTAAAAAAAAAAAAATCAAAACACTGAACTCTTTCACATTATATCTATGCCCCCCAAAAAAGACCCCCTGGGATAAATTTTTTCCACTTACTTAGCCATGCATGGAGTTCTCTCTTCCTTCAAACTTTCCTAGAGATAATTTGATTCAAGCTTTTACATGGGGATTTTTATTCAAAAAATGCAAATTCGAATTATGAGTATTTTATACAATCTAGTTGCCTGTTACGTACTTACAGATAGGGAGCCCTGGTCTTTATATATACGTCAGATAAGTTTATGTGCACACACATTGCTTGATGTCTTGTACATGTTGAATGCTCACCAAGCGTTTTGGATTTGCAATTTTGCTGACACAAATATTGAAGAAAATATTTGAAATTTTGATCCAAAATCTGCAAAATTAGTTTTATAACCTATCAATTGAGGATATTCCAGAAAATCAGAATTGTTAGTGGGTAAAGCACAGCTTGGCACTTGCAGGAAATCTTGGATCTGTTGTAAATGTGTGCTGCAGCTATAAAGCAGAAGTCCTGTGAGTACAGTGGTTTTCAAAAATCTCACGCCATGCTATGGAGAATACAGCTACCACATACAAGGATACACTTGGCAAACTAAACAACTCTTCAAAACTTGCCCAAGCAAAATTCCAGATGGGTAACTGGGCATTTCCAGAAGAAAAATACGGATATAAGGTTGCCCTGGCAAAACTATTTCACTACACTTTCAACTGAAGTTTTATATCAGCAGGCCAGTGATAGGATACAACGTTCGTACCTGTTCATGCATGATCCTCACTTCAGGCAAAATCCTGCACTCTTTACCCAGGCTTATCTCCCATGAGTCACATGGGGAGATGGGCATAAGCAAAGAAGGATGGAAGTATTCTTCCTTTGGAATAGAGTTCTTGGATTTCCTGGACAAATCATTATACGTGCATCCCTGCCTGGAATGCAGAGCAGGCAGCTGCATGCTTTCCCACTGCGATGTTAGCAACAGTAACTTCTGTAAACAGGAAAACACCTATGCAGAAGGCTCATTTTGTGTCCATGGAAGAGCACAGAGGCCTTTCTAAGATTTGTATCTAGCAGCTCAAAGGGGCATCAACTGAAAAGTAGTATCATTATAATTGCCAGTGGTTTTTTTATTTTATTACTACACTCAGTTTATTTATTGCTCAAGGGTCTGGCATCGAGAGTATGATTTTGAACACAGCTCTATTCAAAAAAAAAAAAAAAAGAAAAAAAAAGAAAAGAAAACTCTGTTCAGTGAGCATTTAAAGTGGAATCCAGCACACCTCAAAGGCTTAGGGATGAGGAAGAAAAGCTAATTTTGAATTAAATTCTCCTAATTCTTGCTGACTCATGACTTGCAAATGGTTATTCAGGCTGTGGCATTACTATGTGACTTTTACAAATACCTGCCTTATCACTGTAGAGCATATACGGAATGATAGCTATTTTCTGTATTTGGATACTTCACTCATCACCTTTATATTCCACTTAACCAATGCTATTCCCTAGACCTGAAATATTTTCATGTTATGGTTCTGGTGGGCCAGTAGACTGCTGCTCTCTTTGGACTGTAGTACAATAATAGAACAGCATATTGGAAGGAACAGAGGATATACTGCTACAAAATCACCTGAGGACCCAGAGAAAACTATGATCCCAATATTGTTCAGCCTTTCTTTTCTGAAATATGATTCTCAGAGGTAAATTAGTAGAAGGCTCACAGGAATAATTTCAAAGCTGCAACCCTCATTTGTTTTCTTATTTCCTGAGAATACATAATTACGCTGTATGACAAGTATCATAATTCTAAAATAGAAAAGGAAATCCCTTAGAAATGCATCTCAGCAAGATTTTAAACCCACTTCACTCATTAACAATGTGCTATTAAACTGTTACTTTTAGTTTTCCATAGCAAGCCACCATTTCAGATGTTGTTTTATGAAAAAGAAGTGTGTCAATGGGAAAGCCTTCCAAGCTGCTGACACTGAGGCAGAGTATAATGGGCAGTTATGTGATATTCCCATGCCAAAATACTCACAGCACCACCCTTCTGCAGTTGAGCGCTCAAATATTTCTTTATCTGTTTCCACTGAAATCACAAGATATTAAAAGCATTTCTGTTCTCTTTTGTTTCCTTTTTCCCTGTAAATAATCCTGGCAGTGGACAAACACACATGCATCTCAATGTGGGGAAGCAGGCACTATCAGAACAGAAAGCAAACATGTAGCATAAAAGCCCCAGAGCTCAAACTGTTCCTACCAGTCGATGCGCACTTCAGCTTTCTATGCCAGCAGATCCATAAAACATCAAAGCAGTACATATGAGAAACTTGTTATATAGAGATCCAATTTAACTACCAGTAGGGAAACTGCTGGTTCAATTCAAAGTGAGACAACAGGAAAGGGCAATGCAAAAGAGTAAAAATTAAGAGGTTATTTTAGTTCACCCTTCTTGGCTTCAGGGGATAGTTGTTGTTGTTGGGGGGGGGATGTTTGTTGGTTTTGCTCTTTGTTTTTTTTGTTTGGTTTGGTTTCATTTCTGTGTTTTTAAAGACCAAACATGGCATGTGGCTATATTAACATGAGCACGCAAAGTTAGAGGTACAAGAGACATATTTACATGTTTATCACTTGGCAACATTCAAGCACTGAGGGGACCTATTTGCCATTGAAAAAAAAAGCTGCAAACTCTCTTTTAGTTTAAAAGTAAAAAACAAGGGAGAAACAAACAAGGGAAGGGAGAAAGAGGACTGGAAATGCAGCTGAAAAATCTGTTTGACCCAGTTAGAAATTTATCTGGAATTACTTTACTGTTAATGCATTTTGTTTGAACAGAAAGAAGTGAAAAAAACAGACTAGGTGACTCAATCTGAAGTGTCTTCAATTATAAGCTTTCTTCCCTTTAGAACA